TTTTTTTTAGTTGTCAATAAACCTTTATTTTATTTATTTATATGCAGTGCTGAGAACCTAATCCAGTGCCTCACACATGCTAGGCAAGTTCTGTACACTGAACCACAACCTCAGCCCTGTTCCATCGGTTTTCCTGTCTGTTTTGGTCCTGGTACCATGCTGGTTTTGTTACTATAGCTCTGTGGTATGATTTGAAGTCTGGTATTGTGATGCCTCCTGCTTTGTCTTCTTGCTTTGTCTATAGTGGATTTCTTATTTTTCTAAATGAATTTCAAATAGCCTTTTATATTTCTGTGAAGAATATCTTTGGAATTTTGATGGGAATTGACCTCTCTATAGTGCTTTTGGTAGTGTGGCCATTTTGATAATATTAATTCTGCCTATTCAAGAACATAGGTGGTCTTTTCATCTTCTTAAGGTCTTCAATTTCTTTCTTTAGAGTTCTATAGTTTTCATTGTAGAGGTCTTTCATTTCTTTTGTTAGATTGGTTCCCAAGTATTTTATTTTAGGCTATTGTGAATGAGATAATTTTCCTAATTTCTTTTTTAGCAGATTCATCATTGGGGTATAGGAACATGATTGATTTAAGAGTGTTTATTTCGTATCCTGCTGCTTTGCTGAATTCATTTTTGAGCTCTAGAAGCCTTCTAAATATAGGATCATGTCGTCAGCAAACAGAGATAATTTGAACTCTTATTTTCCCATTTGTATCCCTTTAATTTCCTCTTGCTTGATTACTCTGGCTAAAATTTTCAAGGACTATACTAAATAGGAGTGATAAAAGTGAGCATCCTTGTCTTGTACCTGTGTTTAGAGGAAATGCTTTCAGTTTTTCCCCATTTGGGATAACATTGGCCTTGGGTTTGTCATATATAACATTACAATGTTAAAGTAATTCCTTCTATTCCTAGTTTTTCTAATGTTTTAAACATAATTGGGTGCTGTACTTTGTTAAATACTTTTTCTGCATCTATAGAGATAACTATGTGACTCTTGATCTTGATTCTATTTATGTGGTGAATTACACTTATTGATTTCCATATGTTGAACCAACCTTACATCCCTGGGATCACTTGATCATATCTTACAAAGAGTTAGCATACCACTGATGAAAGTGTAAAATAATTTGTACAACCAATCACCTGTTGATTGAGTGTTCATTTTGTTTCTCTTATCTATTTCTTTTCTGTTCCTCACCTGAAACTATGAAAACATACTGTCATAAATGCAAAGGGATTTTTTGAGCGGGAAGGACTGGGAAAGTTGAACCTTGGATGGGAGGGTTACCACTGAACCATGTTCCCACCCCTTTTTATTTTGAGATAGGATCTCTCTGAGTTATTTAGGGCCTCACCAAGTTGCTGAGACTGATTTGAACTTGTGATCCTCCTGCCTCAGCCTCATGAGTCACTGGGATTACAAGCATGAGCCACTGCACCCCACATTAAAGGAAATCGGAGGCATACTCTACTGAAGAGGTTTGGGAAGTTCCACCAAAGTGAAGGTGAGTCCAGAAAGGGCAGAAGAAGAGACAGCTGGCTTCTTATGACAACTGAAGCTACCTGATTGTTCCCTTGTATGGCATAAAGGTGAGGATGGCTGCCCCAATTTTGAGAATGTCCTATGTGGACACTTTCTATGAGGGTGTCCAACAGTGCTGTTCCACGTTATAGTCTCCTCCATTTGAACCCTTCCTGTCTGTTGTCCTGAGCTGTCTCCCCAACCCTCGGCATTCTGAGCAAGTTCCACTGAGAACAACAACAAAGTGGGTCCCTTAGGCTTTGAAAATTCTGCAGCTTGGAAAATCGTGGGTGGTATAAATGTTGAGTGGAAGTGGGAAGTTTGTTCCATTTAGTTCAAGCTTTTCCAGAAAGTGAGCTGTAAGCTGTATGCCACTGATCTTTATAATCACATCTCTAGCCCAGGTTTATATTCAAAAGCACTTTAATTCTGCCCTTCTGTTGAGCATCTCTGCTTAACTGCCCACAGCACTTCAAATTCAACAAACATCTATAAAAGAGAAACTCTCATCTCTCCATCTCTGTCTTTTACCAGCACCATGGCTTTGGGCAGCACTGTCATTTCTTCATTTGCATGTGCCCCAGAACATTGAACTCTGGGGATTTAAATGGTATTCTTTATGCAGAAGGCCTTGGTGTTCACAACATGTCAGTTCCCTCCTCCCCTCTTGCCTCTCACTTTCTTCTTTTTTTTTTTTTTAATTTTTCCTTTTTGGAGGAAAAAAATTCTCAATTTAGGGGAAAGGAAAAGTTCATAGGGTTTCCAAAGAGAATGTGCTGCTACTTAAGGTATAAAATATTGCTTAGATACATAAGTCAGGAGTGTACCCTGAAAGCAATGTGACACTTGAAGTTGATGCTTTACCACATTTTCCATTGGCCAAGAGTGAGAAGAGGTGGGTGATGAGTGGGGTCAGTGGCTGTCATCCTGGCATTCTTATCACCAGCTGCAAGGGCCTCTAGTCCAGAGCAGCCTGGAGGTGATGCTGCAGCTTAGGACTCTAGCCTGGCTAAGGGAAAGAGTGTTGTTTGAGGCCATCTAAATTGCTCCTGAGTTTCATTTTTTTTTCCCCTTTCATTTGAAAATTGCCAAAGGCTGGCAGACACATCCATCAGGCCTGGATAAACACAACTGCATCCATTCTCCCATTATCTCCTGAGCTGGGTCATTGGAAAGAGCTCATAAACACAGGAAGACAGAACATAATTACTTAATAGGTTGTCAGAAGCCTGAGAGCATCAAGGCCCAGCAGCATACCAGGAAAAGTGAAAGATCGTTTATGTGGAAATGGTTGTGGTTTTGAAGCAGAGAGAGGGGAAGGGAGGAAAGTTTCTGGGGTGGAGGAGAATGTAGAAGAAATAGAGTGGGAATGTGGCTTGCTCATAACAGGGAGTCAGCTTTTAGAGGACAATCTAAAAGTGTGCTCTGAACCTGGGTGTCCACTATGTGCAAAACACTATGCTGAACTGGAGATTCAAAGGCACCCAAGACAGAGGTGGTCTTCTGTCAGCTATCTGCCTGTCTGGGATCAGACAGAAGTGGGTTCAAAGCATAGCTCCACCACTTACTCAACTTGGGTCTGGTCATTTTTTCTTCCTGAATCTCCATTTGGGGATTTGCCAAATGGGGACACTGATTCCATTTTTATAAGGACGTAACACATGTAAAGCTCTTTTCAGGATGCCTGGAATATAGGTACTGGTACTCTTCTGTTCCTGCCCACCTTCTTCCCTCTCCTGTCCACAAAGTGCCTTCTACTTCTTTGTGGCTATTTTCCTAGGGTCTGAAGGAGTGTGCAGGAGCACACAGGAGGGGAGAGGGTGTCAAAAGGCAAAGTTGTGTGTTGGGAGAAATCAATGAACACATTCAGAACAGAGTTAGAAAGAACTCCCTCCATGGTCTACTTTGGATCTTCTCAGAGAAAAAAAGCTATCAGTTTCCTATTGTTAAAGCATGGAGGGAGATTAGTACCTACCATAGCTCATGTCCTGTGAAAAATATTTCTCCATTCTAATTCTCTCAGTTCAGAGAAACGAAGCCTTGTGAAGCAGGAAAAATGATAAGATTATGAGTCATACCCTTAGAGAAATGCAAAAGTAAGCTGATTGCCCCACAATCCCATTGTTTTCCTTACCTGAGTTCTCCAATAAACTCAATGTGCTGTTCTCAAGTTAGACCAAATTTTAGTGGTGACTTAATTTAGTCCTGAAATTTGAGCCAGTAGCATAACCACAACCATAGCTTTACTTAAAGTGCCTGAACTTAACGTTCCAATTTATAAGAGAGCATTGGCTTAGATAATGTCTCTGCCCCTTACTGCCCGAGTGACTCTGGCCATGTGCTGTGGCTGTGCCCTCATAGGGCAATGATTGTCTATGGTCAGTGACAGGGACACAGTTGACACATTTGGTCAATATTAGGGATAAAGCCTCCCTTCCCCCTCTTTCTCCCACCCCTCACTCTCCTTCCTCTACCCCCAATGGTCTCCTTTCTGCTTACATGAAATCCTTTATTTTTCCTTCTACCTTCTACATATGAGAGAAAACAGGATATTTGTCTTTCTTTGTCTGGCTTCTTTCACTCAATGTGACGCTTTCTTCCATTTTCCTGCACATGACATGATTTTATTCTTCTTAATGCCTGGATAAAGCTCCATTGTGTGATTTACCACACTGTTTTTATCCATTCATCTGTTGACAGACACCTGGGATGAACCCCTAACTTGGCTATTGTGAATTGTGCCACAATAAGCATGGGTGTGCATATATCTTGAAAGTATGCTGACTTTAATTCTTTTGGATAAATACCAAGGAGAGAGATAGCTGGATCACATTTTTAAGTTTCTGAGGACCCTCCATACTGACCTCCATAGTGGTTATACTAACTTACATCCCACCACCAACTGTACGTAAGAGTTCTTTCTTCCTTGAATCTTCACCAGCATTTATTGTTGCTTGTTGTTTTGTCTGCTACTGGGGACCTGACCCAGGAATGCTTTACATCTCCAGTCATTTTGATTTTTTATTTTGAGGCAGGATCTAAGTTGCCCAGGATGGCCTTGAACCTGCATTTGTCCTGCCTCAGCCTCCTGAGTAGAATCACAGGCACCCAGCATTTTGCTTGTATTCTTCATGATTGCCATTCTCACTGGAGTGAGATGGAATCCTAGAGTGGTTTTGATTTGCATTTCCCGGACAGCTAAAGATGTCATGTAATTTTCATATAATTGTTGGTCATTTGTATGGAGAAACTGAGTGATGGAGTCACATCAGTTTCTCAATACAAAACAAACAAACAAACAAACAAACAAAAACAAAACCCAATCTCTACCTCAGAGCAAAGCCTGTCCAAGGAAGGGGGTGTGACCCTTGTCCTTGGAAAAACCCACAGAGCCTGAGGAGGCAGATAGCCACCCTGCTGAGTTGTTTGTCTGCAAATAATAGGAGAGATCTGTGGCACCTGGTGTCCCTGACTCAGTTAGGCTAGATGAGGACCCATAGCAACTTCCTAGCAACCATCAATCAGCATGAGACAGGGAAAATACCTGGGATGCCAGATGACCCCCCCAATAGTTTATGGTGGTTGATAACATGTTGGGAAACCATGTAGTTTAGCCCGTATACCCCTCAAGGATTAAACCAATCCGTTAAAACAAATCCCCCTCTTGTACTAACCAATCACCCCTACCCTACTTGTTCCCACCAGTGAATGTGCTAATCAATGCTAAGAGTTGTTGTTTAAATTTCCTGTGGTGTGGAATGATTTGCTGTGTGATGTTGTGACGCATAGAGTATCCCCCAAAACCTATAAAATCTCATTGAACATAGGACCAGGGCTCACTTCCTGGGACCGCTGCTTCAGAAACCGTTGTGAGTCCAGGCTCAAGCTTGCAATAAAGACTCTTGTGTGATTGCATTGGATTCGGCTCCTGAAGGTCTATTGGAGTCCCAGGAATCTGGTAATACAGTACTTCTTTTGAAAAGGGTCTGTTCATTTCATGCACCCATCTATTAAATGGGTTGTTTGTTTTTTTATTTGCCTGCATGTTGAGTTTTATCACTGGGTAATACTGGATTATGAAAGAGCTACGCCCTTGAACTAATAAGTTTGAGTCCCATGGAATCACATTCTCTGAACAGTTGCTCTTGGGGTACCATTGTTCCCCCCCTCCCCTGCCCCCCCAAACCCCCAGCATCATGAAATCAGCCTGAGGCAGAATAAAGAGGCTTTTGTAGGGTGTTGTGCAG